TTGGGATAGAACTGAAAAAATTATCATTTTATAATTCAAATGATATAACTTCATTTGTTTTTGTAATTTTGAAGAGTAGAGAGCAAAATGATTTAATAATGTAATCCTTTAACAAGGAACAAAGCATGCAGTGATATCTCTAAAGCCATGGAAATATATTTTAATTAAAGAAAAGAGCTAAAATTGGACAACTCTCAAAGCGTGAATGAGGTTTTTTGGAAAAAACAAGGACATAGTACAGTACACTTTCTCCCTTCTCTCCTGCAAATTATCTAAGAGCAGCTGTGAACAGTGGTCTTGTTATAGATTCTGATGAATGGGGGCACTGTTCTCTTAAATTTCCATTGGTAGCAAAGGTGATCAGGGTAGAATCTAGCATAATATATTTATAGTCATGTGTTAGTGAAATCTCACTAAAGATCCCTAACATCCGGAAAGTTTCTCTAGGACATGTAATTTGTGGACTGGCTAAAGAATTTAGTCATAATAAGCATTTTGCAGCCTACCAAGGTTTTCTTGTGTAACATCTTCTTGACCACCTGGTAATTTGGTGGTTGCTTGAATGTGTTTCTCAAATCTAAAATGAATCCTAGAATCCTTTAGGATATTAATATGCATTTTCATATGCTTCTCACACCCACACTGCTAATTCTCCACCCTCTCATTCAATCTTTTCAACATGGAAAGCAATTCAGCCAAATTAAAATTAATTATTTTAAGTCCCATTGGTTTCAATGGGAGAGCTAAACATGCCCTTAAACTGTATTCAGTGTTGCTTTAAAAAGTGTTTTAGTATCTGGCTCCTACCCACAATCTCAATATTTTATGTAAAGTTATATGAGTGTTTGCATAAACAAGCCTTCTCAGAGATAATTTAGATGTACTTTTGCAGTATCATTCTTTAGAGTGTTAGCATACCTTTTCAAGCACTTCCCCTAACTTAGTTCTGATTTCCATGCTGATTTTTATAATACCTCATATACATGAGCCGCTGCTCATTCAGTAGCATGAATTGGCTCATTTGTACAATCAAAATAAGCTGCCATGGCTTGTTTGAATCTTAATGTGATGGGTTGCAATTTCCATAATCATCACCTTGGGAACAGCCAGTTGTGTTATTCAAACCCTGAGTGACATGGTTTGTTGATAGGGGAAGCAACCTTCCAATAACCCTACAACAATCCATGGGCTATTCTAGGGTTCTTCCCCACTCCAAGCCATGCCACTGAAATTCAGACCACAGAAAAAGCTATGCCTGGACAGTGAGCAGAAAACTCCACCTAGCCTGTATTATGATTTAAGTAAGTCTTGGTGACTTTTTGGATTGTGTGAACCACCTCCATGTCTAGGAGGATTTGGGGAAAAGGGAATGGTGAATGGCAATACTTTTGCTGTACACTAAAATGATGCCGTAACTTGGGAGTGGTTGCCTGCTTTCCTGCCTCCCTCAGGGATGTTCTAGCTATGCTGCCCAGCTGTCAATTTAAGCAATTAAACTTTTATTTACCTGAGCAGATATAAAAGGCACTGTGCAATCAGGATGCTACCTAAGTGCTCGCTAATAATTTTCTCCTTTTTTCAGTGTTAGTGTTCTGGACAATAAGGCACTGGACCATAAAGGGACTAAGAGAACTGACCAAGATGTTGGATCTCTATTTTGAATGTTATTTAGTCCAGTTAAGTCACTGCAATGAATGAATGAATGAGTACTTCTAGACAAGGCTTTTACACAACTATTACCCTGCTTCCTTTACAGAGGCTCCAGAGGACATAATCTTCAACTTTTAATTCTCCCATATCTTCCACAGCTTCTTCCATCTTCTTTTCTCACTGCAAGGAATTTGTTAAGGAAAAATACATAGAACAGCTACACAATTATCTCATTCTCCAGACATGCTGCAGCTCATCATGGGTTAAACAGGAAGGGGCTGCAGGACTTCTCATGTGTGCACTGAAACTGGGAACAAGCATACCTGAACAGCACTGGTAGGAATATTATAACCTCTCAAAGGCCACCCAGAGTATTTACAAAATATCACCGTATAAACAATTATGAATGGTACTTACATCATCAGGAAGACCTACAACTTTAGTGCCTGTTCAACAATGTTCATACAGTGAGTATGATCAGATCAATGCATGCAGAATTGTCCCCTTATATTACAGAAGGAGAGGGTAACAAATGGCCTTTACCACTCCAACCTTGGCTCACATAATTGTAGCAGTATCAGCAAAACAATAGGATGGTGTTGCCAAATTTTGGCAGCAAACCATAAAAATGGCCTAAAAAGGCTGCACCTGTCTTTCAGACAAGTTGCATACCTTGGACTTTAGGTTGGCATCGTGGCCCAAATGTGGAATCAAGTGACCTGCTCCTCCCATAGGATTCTAATCTTACAGGATTTTGGACAGCTGGGAATGCAAATCAATCCTATTACTAATATGGTAAGATCCCAAGGGTATGGAATGGGCTTCCACGGGAGGTGGTTGAGGCCTCATCAGTGAGGGTGTTCAAGGGTAGGCTAGACATGCACATGGTGGGCATGTTGTGAGCGGAGCTGGCTGGAGGTCAGACTAGATGGCCCAGGAGGCCCCTTCTGACTTGCTCTGTTTCTATGTTTCCATGTTCTCAAATGGAAAGTTTAATTTGTTTATTGGAATTGCAACCTTCCAAAAGAAAAGGAGGTGCATTGCCGTATTTGCATGCTTTAGTCTGGATGGATTACCATTGTGAGAAGACTGGTTTAGCATTGGAGCAGCCCCAGAAGTCAGTCCTGTTCAGTAAAATGCCTTTTTCTAGAAGACAAGTTGTTCCTTCACACTCACAAACAGAAAATGTCAGTAAAATGGAAGAGAGCTTTCTGCTTGCTATCTCTTGAGATTGTTCTTTGAAGTCTCTATTCTGCTGCACAGAACTTAGAAGCATAAGGTACTTTCTCCACTAAGTTTGTATCAGCTATTAGTTCAGGGCTTCATTTAGCTAATCCTTACAGATTGGAAAGCCACCCGCTGCAATGTAATTGCTCATAAAGAAATGCACAGACGTTTCTAAATAGTGCTATTTTTGAGGCATTATGCAGATATTCTGTCTTTCATTTAAGGGTTTTCTTTAATAAGGAAAGATGGGTGAAGTATTGGGATAGGAAAAATTGAGCTGATTATGATGTTACCAGGACCCCAAAGAACACTCCATGATGAAGAAATGCGAACGCATATAAAATTGTTGTCTGCAAGCACCCTTAAAGCACAATCTTATGCATGTTTAGACAGAAACAAATGGGGTGACTGAGGAATTCTTGGAGTTGTAAGGGTTTTTCCTGTCTAAACAAGTGTAGGATTGTGTTGTCATATAACATTGTTAACTGCAAGAGCTTGTAACTCCCTTATCCTTTCTCTTGAATGCTTTTAAATATATAATGGCTGGGTTGCATGACACCTGTTCGCTGATTTGCCCTGTCACGTGGGTATTAGTGAATATGCACCAGCACCTTCTGCTCACTTGGAATGCCTGCCTGCCTGCCTGCCTTTGTCTTCCCAGATATCTGCATGGAGATGACCCACACAAGTAAAACCCAATGTGCCTGGGCAACTCACAAATACATGAATGCTCAGTATCAGTAAATAAATGCTTCAGTGGTTGAAGATTTTCTGATTCTTAGAGCAAAAGCCATTCACAAGGCAAGACAAATTTTTGGAATTATTCTCATTTGTACCTACAGAAAAGCCTGCACAACAAAAGACAAAACCGTTGGAGGATTACATTAGCAGCCTTGTAGATAAGAAAGGATTATCGCCCTTGCAAAGTAACAAAGAAGAAACTAATTTTGGAGCAGGATCTGGATTATTTGTGTCAAAAACTAAGTGGCACAATATCATAATATATCCAACATAACCCTATTTACTCCATATGGACCAGAACTACAAGAATGTCACGTGGGCTGTAACCCAGGGGAACAAGTTTAATCTATCACTCCTATAACTTTACAGGAGAAAAGCTAGGAAGACCTACATATCTGAGGCAGAGCAGTGATAGGCAATTTTGCATTCTAGTATCTTTCTAACTTACTGTCTTGCATTGTGCCAACCCCCACATTCCCCCATTCTGTTAATTGAGTGCAAGTGTGTCCTTGCTGTTTTCCCATGCATGCCTTGTTATCAATGCTGCCTTCCCACTTAGCCAACATAATAGCAGCAACTCTACTTGGTTTATTGTTAGGCCAACAGCAGCTAAAAGAACTGGGTGTTAAGCTAATTCTGCTGTTCTGTCCTGATCCTCTACAAACCAGATTTCTCTGGAGAAGGGTTTTGAACTCTACAATATACCCAACTCCCATGGAAGACCTGGAGGAACCTGCAGTGGAGCAAAATCAATCGGGGACACCTAATTACACCCTGCCTTGATCCCTGAATCACCTCCCTTTGTTCCCAGGGTCTACAAAACAAAGGAAGCAGTAGATCTGGTGAAAGGAGCACCCATTTGACTGCTAGGAGGCCATGTCATGAGGAATCAGCTCAAGAAGCGGAAGCTACTCTGGGGAAAGTTTGCTCAAGAAAAGACCTGGCTGTCAGCTGCCTACCTTCTCACCCGCCACCCCCCCCCATGAATGTGTCACTGCTGTAAGAGTTCTTCATGCCATAGGATCCTGCTGGTACCTGAATTACCATTACATTCGTTCAAAAATGTTCCTGTCAGCTTAGTGCTATGTTTTGATGGTACAGACTTAGTAGCTATCTCTGTTATCTAATGGGAATGATCTGTGGATTGACTGTACTATTACTGCAACAGGAAGTGTCTTTGCCTTTTCATAAAAACAAATAGTAAAGCACAGGAAATTATTAAGACCTTTAAGGAATACTCCTCTCTGCTGGGTTCCTCTCTCTCTTCTTTGGTTGCACCTTTGCTAAATAGCATGTGTGGTTGGACTAAACAGAATTGAATTATATAAATGGTATTCATGAAAGAAATATCAGTGCTTAACAAATCTGAGCACAGAATATGGATAGAAATGCTATTGCAAAAGGAAAAAAAAATGAAATGCTTTAAGAACTCTGCAAAAGAAAGCCAAGTAGATTTTGACACATTTTGGAAGTTAATCGCTGCTACTTTTCCTGCTCAGAACTGTAAAGCTAGCATTTGTTAAATCTTTAAGATGCCTAGGGTAAAGGACAAATCCTTTGTCCTCTGGAGACCAAAAATCACTTAACATTCACCTAGCGCTAACCTGACAAGCTTTTGTAGCCTTGCAGAAATTGCATTTGGCCAGTAGATGGAGCAGCTGCAGCGGGGAGCCACAAATCTTCAGGGACACCAGGGCGAAATCATTCAAAGCAGCCGAGCCGCCCATCTCCCTTGACTCCCCCTTTGCTTGTCAGCAGCTGGACGCCTGACAGGGACTGGGGAAAAGAGCAGCATGGGAAGAAGGAAGAGGAATGGCGCTGAGCCAGCGTTCCACACAAAGAACGAGCGGCAGGTTGAAGTTTTTCCAATGCAGTGTGTTTCCTGCTGATGACAGCTTCAGCCAAAGGTGGAGAAAAGGGGACCTCTCACCTTCGGGGGGAGGGGAGGGCATGACTGCAGGATCCCCCAGCCTACAGGAGTCAGAAGTGCGTTAATGAACTGTAAATAGGGGCACGTGCATGCAAGGACAAAGAAGGATAGGCATTCCAGGGGACCTCCTCAGACATTCTCCTCTGAGCCCCAGAGCAGGCATACTGGAGCTGGTTTTCAGTGCCAAGGCACATGAAATATAAAAATGCTTTTATGCATATATAAAATGCTTTTTATTCACCACCACCACTCACTAAGTAACTGTTGCCTGCCCCGTCTCCTCTCAAGTCAGAGTGTGCATGTGTATGCGGGCTGGCCTAACACATTTTGCTGCTTAATAAGATGCTCTCTCCCTCCCCTCTATCCGCTTAGAGGAGCCTGGCAGCTGAATCTTGCTGCAGCGCTGGAGCAGCATCTTCCAGCACCTGAGAGCAGTGGGCCAGCTTAGGGGTGCAGGGCAGGGCAGGCAACTCCTCCCTGTTGCTTGCCCTCACAGCACCTTCTGCCTGAGGCAGGGGTCTCACAGCCTACAGGTAGGGCAGGCCCTGTTGTGTAAGTTCTTGTGTGTGTTAGACATAATGCCTGGCATTCCCACCCTAATTAAATCCCTTTTCTCTTTTTTTCCAGAAGTGCCACAAAGCCAGCATTGTGCAAATATACTTGGGGTGACCAGTTTTATTTCCAGCAAATGATACTATGTTTGAATGGTTGTGCATGACGGAACTGAGAGCAGCTTCATTAGCTGAACTTCAGCTGGTCACATTGAACAAACTGTCAGGCCCCACTTGCCACCCAGAAGAGGTAACCCCATGTTCAAGTGTTGAATAAACAGAGCAGGGTGATTCCAGACAAGTCTTTCATGGTGTAATTGCCTTACCTCAGTCACTGAATTTTATGTTGTATAGTGTCTAGACACTGTGGTCTTCTAAATGGAGACCTGTGCTTTTGCGCTATTATTTTTTACTTACCCTAGAAAAACCTTTGAAGGCCAAAACAAAAAGAATAAAAGGAATAGTTGCACGATGCCTTTGGATTGGTGACACTAGGATCCCCTGTTTAGAAGCACCTGAGCAACATATGAGCTAGCATTTTCTTTGGAAAATTTGCCAATTTGCTTCTTGTCATAGTGGATTCACATGTAGCAGCACACTGCAAATATCCAGGGTTGGTCCAGTTCACATGGGAACTATTAAAAATGAATAAATGTAGGAAATGTTGCTTTGGTCAGAATCTCTCATGGCACTTGGGAGGGAGAGGAGAAATAATTAACAACAAATTTGGAAACTTGGACCTAATGTTCCATCTTGCATTAAACCTGGCATTGCTTTTGCAGTAAACTCCGTATTGCATCAGAATAACTGTCACAGCTTGTGAGTCTTTCATAATATTGTTACCAGACTGGCCTAGTTCCATTCATGCTATGTTTATTGTTCCTGAAATCTCAGTATCTTCAGCACGATGCATATTTACATCATCATGCAGAATTCCTACTCATTTTCTGCAGGACTCTGCTTTATAAGTAAGGAATTACTAAGCACCAGAAAACTTGGAGTTAATCCTGTTTAGTATTTGATATCCCTCTTACAGAGTTAGTGAATGAATTCTTTACCAGGAAAACTTTAAATATATTCTCTCCTTATTTCAGTCATTCTGTTTTTGCTGCGGTCACTTGAAAAAGACAGAGGTAATATCTGTGCTGTCTAGTGTAGCCCAAAGTCAGTAGCAGCAAAGCTTCATGAGCCTAGAGCCTTTCATGTTCCGCTCTTGGAATTATCCTCATGGCTACTACTGATGTGACATGTGTGGACTTATTTTCTGCTTCTCCTTGCATCTAGAGGCCCAGAAGAAGTTGCAGGCAAACCTATATATGGTGAGGTTAATGGATTCCCCTGTCAGATTAGCTACTTCTGGCATTAATTGTGGTTACTGCAGACTCCTGAAATACCTGTAACTGCCAGATGTCTGAGGAGAGAAGGCAGTTTCCAGGGCCCACAGTAAAATAGTCCTTGTGCAGACATGCCCTCCTCTATCATATTCAGAAATTTTCTGTGTCACTTTGAGCAAATGCTTTGATATAGATAGACCGATGATCTACCAAATTACTAAAAATTACAAAAGAGTGCTGCATTCAGATAACTGGATAACTTTAAATGGATAACTTTAAAACCGAATGAAATGCTATTGCTATTGTCTTCCTTAGTAATATGGGTGTCTTTTATAAGTTATTCTGTCTATCTGGTAACTGCTTTTCTGGAACTTTGCCTCCATGGCTAGTATAATAGGTAAGGGTTCCATTCCTTGGGACTTTCCTAGGTAATAAACTCTCATGCCGATTATCATGGAAAGTCCACATGTTCCATTCACACGAGTTATTTAAATCTTACTCCAGCCACATAAGAGCCGCTCATAGAAATACAACTCCTGTGTGATTAAGATAATGCTTATAGGGCTTCATGAACCAAAATTTTGTTGCACACATGCAGTTGGACCCCATCCCATGCCCAGTGCCAAATAAAACAGCTTGGAAGGGAGGATTTTCCTGGGGAGAGGGGGAAGTATCTGAACAAAGAGTTAAACACTCTATGTTCCACTACTTCTGTATGCAAAACAAAAAACAATGCCCCCCCCAAAAAAAACATGTTCAGGTTTAGTTGCACATGTTTGTTTTTAGTGTATAGCTTGCCCTTACTCTTATTGATTGTGGGTATCTGTATTTTTAGTCCTATGGACTAAACAGTAGTTCAGTGGAGTTCAGTTTGGGAAAACTCCGAAGCAGAACCAGGTTAAGCCACCAATTCAGCCCAAGTTGAAGGGATGGGTGCTCCTATGGCTTCATTTTGCCTTTTAAAAACATGGTATCAAATCTCTCACTGTCTTGCCTACTAGTGCTCAAAGAAAGTACATCTAAGGTTGTGCTAGTCTGTAAAATGGTTATTTTCCTGAATAGTTAGGGAAGACTTTGCCCCTTGCACTAACGATAGCTTCCCAGATTCATCCACTTCCATATGCCTTTCCTATTCAGAACATCAGAATTTCCATGCTACATCTAGCCTACAGTGCATTGAGCTCTGCCTTCTGCCTCCCGATAAGTGTGGCTAGGCAGATCCCACAGGCAGGCTGACAAGCAGGAAAGTCATCATGGCAGTATCTACCACCTGCTGATTCTCCCCAGTGTCTGGTAGCATAATGCTTCTGAACAGGAAGCTGGCAGAAACAGTGCCAGCAGGCGGCATGCTTCTGGGTTTAAATAGAGTCAACCTGACTTGGCAGCAAGTGCCATGGAAGGAGCTCGTGTTGCATCCATTTAAGCAATTGGGTGAAGCAAGGCAAAGGTAAGATTCCAGGGACACAGCAGAACTGTCTTGTCCATTTAGCACCTCTGTTGGTAAAGCAAACACTGGGAGTCACTGTGTTTATTTACAGAAACACTGAGAGCTTTCAGCAGCTTATCTACTGTAGCCAAACTTGAAGTGGGGGGGGGGGCGGGTGGAGAAAGAAAGGGGGATGGCTTTCTGTCTCTGGGCATGAAGATGCTGTTTGAATTGCTCTCAGACAACCCTTAACAGCTGGTTATAATTATGCACTGCAGCTTCAGAGGAAGTTGCTGGCTGTGGGGAGTGCACAGTGCTTGGCTGCAGCTCAGCTGTTCTTAAGGGCACACAGTAGAGATATGGAGAATCGGGAGCCAGTGGCATTAAACAGAAGGAGAGGGTGAAAGTCTAATTATCTCCCACTTGAACTAGCTCCCTTGTTGAGTCATTACATGTTTGTGAGAGTCCCTCAGCATAAGTATACCCTAAGTGAAGTTAGATGAAGGAAAGGGTCATGTTCAGCTGCCAGAAATTCATAACACTGGGGGCTGAAACTTAAAAGACAAAAGCATCTGCCTCTATCTAAAAGCTTTGTTTTATTCCCCTAAGGGGGGGTGTGTGTGTGTGTGTGTGTGTGTGTGTGTGTGTGTGTGTGTGTTTAAAGCTTTTGTTAAGAGGAATTGGGCGGAGAAAGCCTTGTATTAAGATGATATTGGAATGGTGACTTCTGACCTTAACATTTCAAATCGCACAGCTATAAACAGAACTCATGAAAATTTAGCTATTTTGCTTCTCAGCAGGGATCCTACAAATACTGTTTCCTGAACTTAAAATATTTTTAGGCTTACATCCCTCTTCCCCTACCGTCCACTCCCTCACTTTTCAGTTTGAATTGTTTGAAATATCCTTGAAATAAAATGTCAAATTGTTTGGTACACTTGTCCAAGGTCACTTTAGAATCAGGCTTAATTTTGAGCAGAATGGAGATAACTTTTATACTAGATTTGAATGGAAGATAAATGTATTGTGCAGCTCCAACTGGTTTCTGAACCTCTGAAATCAGTCTCCAGGGAAAGGAAAGACTGGCCAGCGGATCGATTATGTAGTCCATAGGGTTGAAACAGTAACATAAATTACTGTTACTGAATTGTTACTAAGTAGCATTATTGTTGAGTGGCATATTAACAAACAAGTATTAATAAAGTGTTTAGAGAGCTAAGGTTATGTTGTTGTTAGTCATGAAGTAGTGTCCAACCCATCGCGACCCCATGGACAACATTCCTCCAGGCCTTCCTGTCCTCCACCATCCCCTGGAGTACACTTAAGCTCACACCAACTGCTTCAGTGACTCCATCTAGCCAGCTCATTCTCTGCCGTCCCCTTCTTCTTTTGCCATCTATTGTTCCCAGCATTAGGCTCTTCTCCAGGGAGTCCTTCCTTCTCATTATGTGGCCAAAGTATTTTGAGTTTCATCTTCAGTATCTGGCCTTCTAAAGAGCAGTCAGGGTTGATCTCCTCTGGCACTGACCGGTTTGATTGCCTTGCGATCCAAGGGACTCTCAGGAGTCTCCTCCAGCACCACAATTCAAAGGCCTCAATCCTTCGGCACTCAGCCTTCCTTATGGTCCAGCTTTCACAGTCATATAATACAGAGAGGACTTCTACAATCTTGCATTATGTAACATGTGGTAGGAAGAAGGTAGATCTGTAGCTGGGTGATTTCACTAGGTGAGCAAGCATTTTAGACTTACAGTTGTTTAGCAACAGGTGCAACAAGTTGAGTTCCCCTTCCCTGGTCCCTGATAATGCTGTTTAAATGAAGAATGTTTGGTGTAACCTGGGCTGGAGGTTTGTGCAGAAGGCCTGCAAATTCCTTTCAATTCCAGTCCCCTAAACAAATTTCTGGGCTCATAATTCTTTAATACAAAGTGTACGTCTTTAGTACTGGGATCTGGCTGATGAATCTTGGGATTCTAGTGAAAAACAAAGTAGACTGCAGTAGCCTGAAATCTGGTATCCTGATGTAGCATGCTTTTGAACCACTTCGCATCATAAAAATATAACAGCTTCATGCCTATGCAGTAACTTAGTCTTTTAGATGCCACGTACTTTTTTGCCATTGTTGGTCATAGCAATAACCTCTTTTGGTATTTCTAATATAACTGGATTTCAAGAGTTTTTTTGTTTCTTTCTTTAAATAATTTAATATAACTTTCTTGTGGCTGTATCCTGAATTTAAGGAATTTCCTTTATCACGGGAAACAGTACAAGGGTATAAATATTGGGCCTCAACACACTCGGTAGATTAGACCTGTAGAATGTGTGATCCACCAAGTCAAATACAGCCCTTGGTCAGTTATTTATTAAAATGCTTCTGCACCATTTGGGAGATTTTCTTGCGTGCACTGCTACCCCCTATGGGTAAACCGCTCCTTCTTTAGCCCCCAGCCCATCAAAATGCAATTTACTTGATTCTAACCCTGTCTAAAA